AAATGCACTTCTCTCCCCAACTAGGCCACACTTACTCGAAAACTTTTTGGGAAGCCCACCCCCTAATTATGGCATTTGGTTCCTCAGATGCCGCAGAGAGGAAGCGGTCCAGACTCCAGGAGGTCCCTGAGTGTATGTTATTAATCCGCTCAATGCAGCACCCCTTAGGGGCCCAAGAGGGAATTGCTGGTGGGGGGGGGGGGGGGGGTAGCTAATGGCCACAGCCTTTTGGCTAATAACCCTTCACATGCATAAGTGCTTCCTGCTCTATGGAATAGGCTCATTTGCCTCCACCCCCTCTAAATCTCCATTTTCTGTCTGGAAACTGCCTCCTCTGTGTTTTTATTATGATTATTTCACTGTTACTGAGGTGGGGAGGGTCATGAACATGCATCATCTTAGGATTTATCAATAACCGTGGGCTGTAGCATTTTTTTTTTGCCTGCGTAATGTGAAGCGAAGCTTGGAGCTGGAGCCCCCGTGTGGCACTGCTTGGTAACTACCTGCTGTTTCTCATTATGTCCCCGTGTCCAGCCATGTGACCATGGAGTTTTGGTCATGTGACATTTAGTGGGGTTAAAGCAGAAGTGGACTGTCTGTGAGGCCACAAAGTCATCTTCTTTGCTGGCTCACACGTGGGGTTTGGCATTCAGGCTGGCTCAGTGCCAAAGGCCACTGGTTGGAGTGGATGATGTCATTTCCTGTGTGAGCCTTCAGAAATGAGGGAGGAGGCTTTCCTCTGATGTAGAGATTCACTTGTGATTGGCTGTCAGGGGAGAAAGTGAAAACACAGCGCCGTAGCGCGTAGCGCGTAGCGCGTAGCGACTCCCGCGGTGCTAGCGATTGATGGGCACCATACTTGCGAGATGGGTGTCTCTGGGCCACTGGCCATATGATCTCCGCACTTTCTCACACTTTAAAGCGTTCGTCTGTCATGATTTATTAAGTCTTGTGAGTTTTTTGCAAACTGAAATCCCAAGTTTGACAGACCCCTTCATAGAAACTACAGTATTAGGAGATCGGTGATTTAAAAGATAGGCAGTAGTTGTAGCTGATAAGACTTCATTTGATGTAATTGATCACATTATCTTTAAAGTTCTTTCATAAAATAAAACACTGATAATAAACTCTTTGTGGGGTCGTCTCGGTACAGCCTGTAAATGTTTGCCTAGGATTGTTGATCTGTTGACTGTTTTGAATAATAAACTTACTTTTCTCTTCCGTTTTTTTTCATCTCCTCCGGATACTTGTCCCACAACAGTTCCGGAGGTTCCTCTGTGATTCCCCTTTGGAGGTAAGTTGTCCTCTTAATGAATGAGTGTTCTATTATTTTTCAGCTTCAACAAAGACAAACAAATAAATAAAGTTCTATCTGTCTGTGATACTTGATTTTATTTAGCCTTGTGTGAATGTCTCCTACACACTTCCTAAAGGAAGCTTCTAGAAGCGTGGGGGGGGGTGGGTATAGTTACTTACTTATTTGGAATGGTTGAGACGCAGACATGACGATGGAGGCATATGCTTGAACCCTCCCTCCGCCCCAAGGCCTGCTAACTCTGGATCTAATGGAGATCGTTAGCGTTTATATGAAACAAGCTTTTATCACCTCGTCAGGACTGGTGGCCAGAGGCCCCTGCCGTGCTCCGCCCTCCCCATCACTGTGTGGGGCCACGCCGGTCCCCCCTCCCCTCCTATCTGTCCCGCTCTTCTTGTAGTCCCTCTCTCACTGTCTTCTTCCCCTGAACATACCCTCCATTTGCTGTGGTTTTACCACACAGCTCAGTCTGTGACCAATTAGCGAGGGTCATTAAACACATTTCTGCTGCATACTTGCACGGGGGCTCCCGTCGCCCTTCCGTCGGTCCATCCATCCATCCGTCCGTCCATCCTTGCCCCTGCACAGGAGGTTGATGGCTAACATCTGGCGCAGAGAGCTTTTCCGTGTGTTAGCCCTTTTTTTTTATATATAATATAGCACCATGTCTTCTGGCAGCGGTGAGTGGCTCCAGAAGGCCGGACAGGGATGGTTCTTGGCGTGTGTCGTGCGCTGCTCCGCGTGCCGTCTGTGTGAGTAGGCGGTGTGGCTGATAGGTTGCGGTCATCACTAGTCGTCTCCTTCCCGGATCCACATCCCGTGTTGCTGGCGGTTAATTTTCTCCTGGTTGTGTTTAATTGCCTCGCGGCATGCAGGCGCAGAGCCGCCTAACGAGGGTGTCGTGTAATTAGTAGCTGCGGCTTTTATGGGGCCTCGTTAACCTCCCCGGCGGAGGCTGTGGGTGACGGCGTGGGCCTACTGAGGCCCCCAGCTATCTGGGGAACCCCAGGTGCAGATGTGTGGGGCTTGCCCTGACCTGGGATCAGTTTGACAGTGTTAGGAGTATCAGTTACGCCATGATTCCAGGGGTTGTGGTTGCTGGCACCGTGGGCTGATAGCGAAGGACAGAAAGGGCAGTGCTGTATAGGGCTGTGTGACTAGGGGACTCCCAGCCCCCCCTGCCTTCACATCCATCTGCTTGATGTTAGTCCCTGCTGCCTCAAGGCTATATTATACTTCTGTGACGAGCCAATGCAGAGCTTATGCTGTGGCCTACGCTGATGGGAGTGTTTATACTTGTGTGCAGTCTGTGTCGTTGTAGCGTGTAGTTGCGTTTCTGGGTAGGTGCACGTCAGCCCACTACGTAGGGGACCGGCATAGGGTGCGCGGCTATGACAAACCTACGACGTAGAGTCTGCACAGAAGGATAAATCGGCCTTCACTCTTACAAGACCCATCATGACTTGGAGAGGAAAGGTGGCGGGTTCGAGTATAGGGGAACGGAGTTAAAGGGAGTCACATCCTCTTGTGATGGCCTTGCTCATGGTAGCATGCGAAGTAGCACAGAGGAAGGAAAGCAGATTTTAATGCACACTGACAGAGACACTGGAGGTGGGGTAAGAGACAGTTATACATGCTGACCAACAGGGGGCAGTGTAGTAGTAATTCATCGACAAAGCGTAGCGCAGTGCTGGCCGATGTTGGTGTTGGCTAACTGCAGGTCTATGGAATGAGAGAGGAAACCAGAATAATTAGAGGAAACCCACACAAGGAGGACATTCAGATCTCATGCAGAGTGGGAGTGTGATTCGAACCCACCACCCTGGAGGTATGAGCCCGCAGAGCTAGAATTTTAGAAAGTTAATTCCTTTTTGCTTGACTTTGCTGGTTCCTGGTTCTTTCTGGAATTGAAACCAGCAACCTTCAGGATAGAATGTGCCTGGTTGATGAGGTGGGCCAGACCACGGTTAGTCAGATGCAGGCACCTAGAGTGATTGTTAACCATACTCGAGTACAGAACACAGACACGATGTCAGTGATGTGACTGCGCCGAAAGTGTCACTGCTCTTTGCCTTTCTTCGCAAAGGAGGGAGTCATACCCCTGGCAGGCAGGAGCTTCTCTGCTCGTTCGTTTTGCCATGTATATAGTGTCAGCCTCCATGGCTGAGCTTTATGAACCAAAATGGCACCAGGAGGTGGAGCTGAATACAGATATGGGCTGGTGGGGGGAGACGACTCACAGCCCTTTGGGATGGAGAAAGTAAGTTTATTCAGGTGGCTGTTTGGGTAGGAGGGTCACACGGGGTGCAACCATGGTAAGAGTAATGTCACGTGGGAGCCCCCCTGATTCAGACTGACCATAATAGGTGAGAGAGCCAGTGATGGCTGACATGCC